AAGTTGCTTATCAGCGTGAAAAACATATTATTTGTTTATCGCGTTAAATGTGCAATCCCTTTTTAACAGCAAGAGAGAATAATTAGTTCTTTCACGTCTACGTAGGAAGTTAATTTTAGTCAGAGTCCGTTCCTGTTCTGTTACTGGAAACTGTGAGTCTTCGGAATACGGTAATTGCAGATCCATGTACTCCATCCAGCGTATTGTATATCTCAGACGACAGATCAGCTTTGAAAACAGAGCAAGATTGTAGGAATAGAAATAAACTGTGCCATGGCGAACTCCAACTTTTCAAAATCGTGTCGTGTCGAGCTATATCTCCTACTTTGGATTGTAATAATAGTTTTAATGTTAAAGTGAGAAAGCAGGAAATTCAGGATGAATGTAAGCAGATCACTCTCAATATTGCAGAGTCGTTTAATACCTAACAAGTAGTTATTCAGTTTGATCAAAGAAGTTGCATGGCCAGGGACGGCATTGTTCTTCAGTATAGTTCTAGACCTGACCATTAGTATGTTTTATAGGTCAAGGGACAACAATGTCCAACACTCCAATCCTTGTAATCCATTTACTTAATCCAGCACTAACACAAGTCTATGTGTATCAATTTTGTAGAAATATGACTATGTATTGACATATAGCTTATAAACCGAATCAAAACACTTACGTGAAATAATGACAGTGACGTACATAGTTGCCACACCAATCAAAACTTCTAGATTCTAGGACAATTTACAAAATCTACTTTATTTTATGTCTTCGATGCCTTACCGCAACCAACATTACAGAGCGTATGTTTCATAAACGCTAGCTAAATTCTATTAACGACCTAGTACCTGTCTTACAGACTGTAAAGGCTATAATGGAGCTCCATGAACTCGTTCGGTCTCAAAATATGTCGTCAAAGAAATGACGAGTTATTTTGCTTGTCGACCCAGAGGTTTTGGCATTATAGCAAAATGCTTAAGAGGACACCTCAAAGTTTTGAAAAAAACTGTTATTATAAAATAACAATGCAAATATTGAGGCAAAGACAACGAAAGTAAACCACAAATAAACAATAGCCGTTGGCGTAATTGCATGACAAGCTTTGCGACAATATCGCAACACAGAAAACTGTTACCAACATATATATATATATATATATATAAAGAGAAAATTATCATGCGGAGAAAGGTATATAACAAAAATAGGAAAATGATGGGCAAAATCCACAAAAAGTGGATTCGAGCAGAAAATAGGATAGGTAACCCGAGCGATACGTATTTCTGCTGGTTGGCTTCATCAGGCCCGAAATGGATGCACATATACAACTACAAAAGTAGATACACATGCCCACACATCCGGATACGGGTCTAACCTGAGGAAACGATCGTGTGTCTTTTTTCCTCTCCATCTTCGCTTCCTCAGGTTACACCCGTATCCGGATGTGTGGGCATGTGTATCTACTTTTGTAGTTGCATATGTGCATTCATTTCGGGCCTGATGAAGCCAACCAGCAGAAATACGTATCGCTCGGGTTACCTATCCTATTTTCTGCTCGAATCCACTTTTTGCGGATTTTGCCCATTATTTTCCTATTTTTGTTATATACCTTTCTCCGCATGATAATTTTCTCTTTGTAGATCCTTTGGGCTTGAAGTACCACAGCAAGTGGCTATAACCGGCCGCGTGGTTGTGGTTATTTGTCGACTTGAAACTTCGAGGTCTTCTAGACATTTTATACTACAAAGTGTAGGTTGGCTCTTGTTGTGGACTTCGTGTGTCTTTTTTTCCCTCTCCATCTTCATTTCCTTAGGTGACACCCGTATCCGGATGTGTGGGCATGTGTATCTACTTTTGTAATTGCATGTGTGCATTCATTTCGGACCTGATGAAGCCAATCAGCAGAAATACATATCGCTCGGGTTACCTATCCTATTTTCAGCTCGAATCGACTTTCTGCGGATTTATATATAACAAAGAGTAGGAAAATAATGGGCAAAATCCGCAAAAAGGAGATTATATATATATATATATACAGGGTGACTTCGAAGTTGAGTCATTTATTTTAACAGTGTGTAGATCTGATCAAAAGAAATGTTTTTTTCCTTTACCATTTTTCTGGTAAAATTAAAGTAACAAAGTTATAGCCCTTTGGAAGTTTGAGTACCGCCCTGTCTCAATAATATCATGTGTTCGTGTTTGGCAACAACGGTTCATCGCATCGGAAACAAAAAAGCGAAAGAATTTGGAACGATGTTTTTACGATTACAATTCAGTTCAGTTATACATACAGTCAGTTTCAGTCGCGTGTGAATAGTGTCTGTTGCGTGGCTCAAACGAAATAAAAAATGGCACATGTTTATGCGGATCGGTTTCCCAATCGAGTGCAACCAACCCCTCGTGCCTTTGTTAATGTAGTACAACGGGCTCGTGAATCAGGTGACTTAAGACCTCACAGGGGACCTCACGATCAAATACAGGTCCGCACTGAAATACTTGTCGGGAGGATACTTTATAAAACAAGGTAAAATTTTTTTTTAATTTTTTTTTTATTTTTACACACATATTTTGGTTTATCTTCCTTCTACAATCATTATCTGAAAATTAATGACTCAACTTCAAAGTCACCCTGTATATATAGATATATCTAAACCCGGGAAATTAAAACTATACGTACCAATTTAGGATCTATTTTGCATTAAGGTCGGTATTCAAATTTACTAAATATGACGTAACTGATTTGTTTCAGTGGATAAACTAATGTCACAATTCAGTCTTAGCAACAAATCAAGTTAAGTTCAAGCAAACCATCTATTCTCAGACATACCAGCGTTATTGTTTTTGTACAGTTATTTCAGGTGTTTCATTTTATTACTTTCAGATGTCGAGATTTGTAAAGTGAGTCCTGTCATTCTCAATTACAACTCATATTTTACGTGTTCAAATAATATAAATTGCTGTACAAGTTTTCAGTAAAATATAGAAGTATTTCGCTTTAATTTGAAAAGCATCGTCAGACTGACATTGACATTAATTGACTACCAACGTTAAAAGTGCCAACTAGCTTGGACCTAGCATAAATACAAAGTTTCAAGTGTGTTTATCTATTTTTTAATTTTTTTTTTTGTCCCATTAGGTAGTATTGCTTTTTTGGTAACTAAATTCACACCTTGTGCGAGGAAAGCCCCTGGAAAACTATCTTTGTCAAGAAGGATATTTTGTGCTTGAGTTGGTTAGATTCTTGTTTTATTTTGTCTGGGAGCATTTTGTTTGATTTTTATTCCACGTTTTTTTCTGATTTATTTGTTTTTCCTTTTGAGTTATGGTGCATATCTCAATTTTTTATATTTACGTATACGCTCCCAGCCCCGGTAATTATTTTCACCTATTAGCGATATTTCATACATCATAGGTTTCCCCATGCATTTATCATTAAAACTTGTAATGATAAAGAAATTCTTTCGATTTGCGTCTCTTTCTGCTGTCCGGCTCACAGCCCGGCGTAACGATCTGCTTGATTGTTCTGTTCGTACTGTGTCGGTGCCTCGATGAGCGCTGCCGCGGCTGACGATAGGGGAAGGACAACGTCGCCACTTAGACAGTAACTATCGGTAGGGCAGGAAAAGAAGGCCTATGGACTAATTGTATAGACCTGTTTGACTGACTTGACCGGTTCAATTTTTCTGTTGTCCATGTTCGAAACTAGCTTTCCTCTCTGAGGGTATACCTTGTGCTGAATTTAATCCTTTACGAACTGATGACGGAATTGCGTAGCTGTCAATGTCATTTTCTAGATCTGGTTTCCTATCTTCAGCAATGCTCACATCTACAAAGCTCTGCTTCATTCAATATAGTTTCAGCTTTAAGCAGTTCTGTTACGCTGTGGCAACTTTTCATTTTACAAATAACTCTCACTATTTATAATTTTGGCATATTTGCACTTTATTCGGGGTAGTTGAGTGAATTGATCCCCATGCACATTCAGCATATCTCACCATACTACTACATACAATCATAAGCGAATTTTCATTCAAAATGTTACGTTGTGTAAAATTTATAAAATAATTAACGTTGTTGCTCATTTGGAACGACCATTTGAGAAATCTGAAATAAACACCTAAGTACATCAATCATTCAATTTGTTTAATAATAGGAGGGATGTCTTTTAAGTTTTGCATATAGAAACATAGTAGGCCGCCCGGATCGAACGTCAGTACTGAATCTTAACCTCATTCTTTAGTAAACTTAAATTCAAAGTTTCACAACAATACGTGCAGTGTTCTCACTACAGTGAATTTTTAAGTGTCACCAAGTCATTAGACAAATGGAACTCAACCGAGAACATTTTCGCGCCGTAATTTATTACAACTTTCAGAGACAATTATCGCAACAACAATGTCGTGCTGTGTTACTGTCTGTTTTCGGCAACGAAGCGCCCCATCAGTCGACAATTTCCTGCTGGTATGGAGAATTCGAACGTGGACGGATGAGTCTTAGCGACGATCCCAGGGTGGGTGCACCAAAAACAGCAGTCACCCAGGAAAACGTCGATGCTCTGCGCAAACTCATAAGTAAAGATAGACATGTGACATATCGCGAGATTGAGGCGTCCTTGAAGATCTCAAAGACGTCAATTCTAAAAAACTTCCATGAAGAATTAGGAGTAAGAAAATTAGTTTCTCGTTGGATACCCCACCTGTTTACTGAAGAGCAGAAAGCAGCCAGGGTTAATTGGTGTCAAAAAACGCTTGACCGTTTCAATTCCGGAAACTCAAAAAATGTGTACAGCATTGTTAGTGGTAATGAATCGTGGATTTACTGTTATAAACCAGAAAATAAATGACAGTCGGATGTTTGGGTGCTCCAAAGTGAAGAAATGCCAACAAAAGTCATCCGTTCTCGAAGCGTTTCGAAAAAGATGGTCGCGACATTTGCGTCAAAAGCGAGTCATATTGCAACAATTCCTCCTCTTAATGAGCAAAGACCTGTTACTGCGGATTGGTTTACCATCATTTGTTTGCTAAAAGTCATCACCGTGCTTCAAAAAATCAACCCCGAAAGAAGAATCATCCTCCACCAAGACAATGCAAGCTCGCACGCAGCCTAAAAAACAAGGCAGTATTTAACGGGAGAAAACGTGGAATTATTGGACCATCCTCCATATTGTTGACGCATTCAACAATGCCGTTTTGGATCTGCCAGCAAACGAGTGGAATAAGTGCTTCGAAAATTGGTTCGAGCGCATGCAGATGTGTATTAATCTTCGTGGAGAATACTTCGAAAAGCAATATAGTCATTTAAAACTACCTACCGTGTTGTTTTATTTCCATATGCAAAACTTAAAAGACATCCCTCGTATCATCACTTCCACGGATCTTTAAAACATAAATGTCACTGAAGGAAGGCGCACGTGTTGTTGGAACTTACTCTTGGAGGCATTTAAAGTGGAATTATTCATATCAAGTCAATCCTTTAGATCATTTAAGCATTTTCCCGCCGTGTCATGATCTTCTATTCATTTATTGCCAGAACAATTGAATACAGCATTATTATATATAATATAATAAAATTATTGTGTAGTTCTTATAATGAAGACGTTCATCTATAAGAATCAGAAACAATGTAGGGCCAAGGACAGTACCTTGTGGCAAATCCAATCCAACTGACCTTAAGTCACATATTTCCTGTCCTTTGCGGATTATGATGCCCATCTGAGATATAGTCCTCAGGAACCCCGATAGCATTAAATATTTAAAAAAAAATGTTTGCTAAATATTTGTAGCGACAGATTTCTTACTATTGAATCAACATATTTCTTACATAATCATAAAATATTCATCAGAGATATTTGTTGTATATATATATATACATATATACAGGGTGTTTCAGTTTATTGTTGCATCACTTTAAGATTCGATAGAACTTTTAAAATTAATGCATAAAGTCTATATAAACATGGGTCGAAAAATGCGTGGCTTCCGAAATACAGGGTAATTAAATTTACTTTCTAAAATAGTTTTTTTTAAATATTTCGAACAATATTAGATGTATAACAGTGAAAATTGCTACACAAGGGTTTTTTGGTACGACAAAACGAACCATGGGCATAGTTTTACTGTAGCCGCTAGAAGGCGCTCTCTACTGTACCTGTAGTGTATTAAAATGACCGAAAAATTTTTCCTAGTGCAATTTTTTGCTTTTTGAATAAAAACACTGATTCCTCGCACTTTTCTGCATAAAAAAGCTCTCCTGTGAGTTTTCGTTGTAGTTAGCCGTTTTTGATATATTTCGATTTTTAAGAAAACTCCAAAGGGATCAAAACATAAATGTTCGTCAGCGCAGATTTACCCGTATGATTCTGCGTGAGTTTGATAGAGATCCGACCACAAGTGTTAGGAGAGTTTCTGGTGGCTTGGAAATTTCATCAAGCCATGTTCACCGTGTTTTTAGAAATGGCCATAAACGTCCTTACCATTTGCAACCTGTGCAAGGACTACAGCCAGGGGACGGAGAACGATGAATCACATTTTGTCAGTGGATTCTTGATAGAACTGATAATAATAGGTAGTTTTTAAATAACGTTTTATGGACCGATGAGTCATGCTTCACTAGACGTGGAGTGTTAAATTTTCATAATCAACATATTTGGTCGCATGAAAATCCGCATGCAGTTCGGGAAAGTAATTTTCAGCATGAATTTAGTGTGAACGTGTGGATGGGTAACTACCGTAATCGGCTATTTGGTCCCTACCTTTCGCCTGCAAGGTTAAATGCTGCGACCTTCTTGGAATTTTTAAAGGCTGAACATGCAAATATGTGGGATGATGTTATGTTAGATTTAAGAAGATTGGCCTGGTTCCAGCTTGATGGTTGTGCAGCTCATTATTCGAGAATAGTTAAAAACTGGCTGGATGAAAATTATCCAGAAAGATGGATCGGCCGTGGAGGACCAGTCGCCTGGCCTCCACGATCCCCTGACCTAAATCCATTAGATTTCTTTGTGTGGGGATTTCTAAAAGAAAAAGTGTACCAGACTGAATGCATGTGATGAAATAAGGCCTTATTTGAATAATGCTATACCACGTTCGATCATTCGTAGATGTGAATTGTGTATTGAAGAATTGGGTTTACATTTCGAGCAACTACTTTAGATTTTGTATGTTTGTCCTAACTATCCAATAGCATTTTAGTTGTAACTAATTAATTTAATTTGTTAAAAACAATATTGGAAAATTAAACAAATTAATATTCTGTTTTTTGTGTTTCTTTGGAGTTAAGAATTATTGCTGTGTTTAAAAACACAATCTAAACGATCATCTTAATTACTTGAAATGCACAAATCGAAAATGTAAAAAAAATATTATTTTCCCATAAATAATTAAAAATGCATCGAACCTTAAAAATCGAAATATCTGAAAAACGGCTAACTATAACGAAGACTCACACGAGAGCTTTTTTATGTAGGAAAGTGCGAGTAATCAGTTTTTTTTATTCAAAAAGAAAAAATTGCACTAAGAAAAAATTTTCAGTCATTTTAATACACTACATGTACAGTAGAGAGCGCTCTCTAGCGGGTACAGTAAAACTATGCCCATAGTTCGTTTTGTCGTACCAAAAAACCCTTTAATACCAATTTTCACTGTTATACATCAAATATTGTTCGAAATATTTAAAAAAAAAAACTATTTTAAATAGTAAATTTAAACACCCTGTATTTCGGAAGCCACGCATTTTTCGACCCATGTTTATATAGACTTTATGCATTAATTTTAAAAGTTCACCCTGTATATGTTTTTGCGATATTTTTTCCAAATATTTATAAAATATTGACTTTTCATTGGGATGTTATAAATATAATTTTCGTATCCATTCTCAGATAAATCCACCAATCCGAAATAACTGTTACATTTCAAGGTTAGTTATTCATGGTCTTGTAAATACCTTTATACTCAAATGGTACAATAATGTTTACTAGTAAGATAAATTAAGCTATGTAATTATCGAAAAACTTACCCTTTTCCACAAAAAAACACTCATATAATGTACCACTTGGAGGTACGCAGAAAGCACGCTATCATAGTGAAACTCACAGGCAAAATGAATGTCGGGAAACGGGTCGGCTTAGGTCGGCTTGCCATCATATCATTGGCCGTACATGCGCCGTAGCCGAAAATATTTAATGAATGTTTTCTAAATAATGGAAATTTAATCTTTTCCATTGATTGAAAATTAAATATTTAATGAATTTTATAAAAGAAATATTGTATTTAAAATATTTAAAAGATATTAAATAAATATTTAATAAAAATATTATATTCCAAATATTTATTAAGAAAACAAATATCTGAGTAAGATAAAAATATTAGTAAATATTCAATAAATATTTTATATTGCATGCTATTAGGAAAGCGCTAGGACACCTGAAACCTATCGATTCTAACTTTTGCAATAATTTCCAATGGGACACAGTATCAAAAGCCTTTTGAAGATCAAGAAACATTACAATATGTTTTTTATTGTTATTAAAGTTAACCTAATAGATGACTGAGTTGCGTTGAAATTACGGAGTTAGCTTACTTGACATCATTTTTAAACATTTAAAACAAAAAAAATCTCTTCTGTAATATTGCATTTTAGATCATTTTTACTTCCCACACATACTGGCGGGGAAGTATTGTAATCGCGAGAATTTCCGAAAATGAGACATAATGTTTTTTTAATGTTTCAAGAAATGTACATAAAAAATAACCATATCACTCATTTCCATCGGTCTGTCTATCTGCCGGTCTCTCGGAGTGTCTGCTAATCTTATCTTAAAATTTTGTTGTGGGAGTCGAAAACTTAAGGTGAGGGTTGTAGGGGGTGGAAGGGTATGTTTTTTGGCAACATTATATTTAAACATTTCAAGCTTGTCGATACATATTTCTCACATCACAGATTTCCCCGAACGTTTGCCCTTAAAACAGAGAAATGTTTATAGACGCGACGCGCGCGCAACCTCCATATGCTGAGCACTGTCTCCGTGTCTGCGATTGATTGACTCTGACTGCATCGCCTGTTTACTATTTACTAGTGTAGTTCAACGCCGTTGCCAGATTGTTGATACTTTGACCAAGGAAGGAACTATCGTTAACGTTATTCAACTGGACCAGTTTGGCTGACTTGATCCGTCCAATTTTCTGTTATAAATGTTTACAGCTGGTTCGGAGGGATTAGCTTGTGCAGCTCATAATCGTGTATAAACATGTCAACGTTTCGTGAGGTACAGAGTCAACCTACTTGACGCCATTTTTTATATGATCTTTTATAGACTATCTATATTATCAGGTTTGGCTCTCTACTGACTGACGATCCACCCAGCAAAGCATGCACTTTGTGGGCAACATGTAATCCTCAGCCTTTATGCGAGTGACGAATTGGACCGCTATACACGGGAATAACGTAAACAAACAGTTGGCAGCAAATGAGCGCGACTTGGGCCGACCCAATTAGCCTTAATGCTCTAACTGGCTACCTAATGCCTATATCCCACATTCCACATGGTATACATCTTGTTTTGGCCTCCCTTTAAACGTATACACGCTCCGAGTAATATTCTCTAATTTCCTATTCAGAAAGGACTCCAGACTCCAATGAATAAGATGAATACGAAGTTGTGCCACACACTGGTCGAGATACGAGGTGATATCGCAGAATTCCAGTATATGACACTATTCACTAGACGCCAAATAACAGTTTTTGTCCACTGAAACTTGGGCATCAATTTTCTAGGCAGAGCTCTAGAACTGCAAAATGATCGCCGAATGGAAACTGAGGTACACGACTATAAATGCAGGCGGTGCTTAAATTTGGGACTTTTTTTACAGAGTGTATGGGCCAGGCAATGGTAAGCATGTGTCACAAAAGTATGGACACACCCAAATATCTCAGAAAGTAAGGGTACTAGTGACCTTAAATTTTACGTAGACAGCCTTAAACGTCATTTCAAGGTCAAGTTGAATTTTTCAAATGAGAACTGTGATTTTTTTTACAGAAAGATAGTCAAAGAATTTCCCTTTTAACGGTATAAATATGATAGAGACTATAAGTAAATCCTACTCAAGGTCAAATGAACTATTATTGTGAATTAGACTATGCGTCCTAACCTTATTACCTCCACCCTCTC